GTGATGCTGACCTGTGTAGAAGTATAGTCACTCGTACGGTTATTGAACTTTACAAACAGTTATACAAAGCTATCTTATCAACCATGTTCACCTCAACTATTAAACAAAAGACACTTTAATAGTGGCCACTAGGTGGCGTAGTTGTATTGCTGATATGCCAGAATCAGGAAATAATTTCATGCTTATTCTCTGGGCGGACATCCGGTCATTTTCACCGCCAGGCAACCATTACGGTGAAAACAAAAGCTGAAAACTCTTAGAAAACGCTACTTTGAGATACTTGTTGAGACTCCCCTGAACAGTGTAACAATATTTAACCATCCATATGCAACGTTAAATAAATCTGATTGCTCAGGGTTATATCAGAATAGAGATTGTGTTGTTTTCATCGGCTCTTCGATCATCGTTTCACAGCTCAGAGCCACATGGTGGTACACGTCTTAGCAATGTAGAACATTCTGTGACATAGCTCTGCTCTTGAGAGTATGTGGTTACAATAGTTTGGTTTCAGTCCAAATGTATTTTGTATGCGTTTGTCAATAATTTTGATCAAATTGGCACAATTTTCCATTGTTTATGGTTCTTGATCAAGATTTGAAAAAAAAAAAAAAAATTGGAAAAATTATGCAGGTTAGTTGACAAAGGTGACATTGATCTTGATTAATAAAATTGAATTAACGTAATCATAGAACATTGTTCAGCATGCTTAATGTGGATAATAAAGTCATTTTCAAGTTCAACTTGACTATTTTGCTGTATGCCTTGTATATTGCATAGTGTACGTATATGTTTTGGGGCCTTCAAGGGAAGTGCTGCAGGTTGATTTTATGTTCACAACTTTGGTTCTTAACCCCATAGGGTGATATGAAATTCGAAACTGAAGACAAAGAAACAAGCCACGTAGTGACAAAGAATCTTCTAAAAGATATATCAAAGATTCTAAAGGTGGCGCCAGATCAGCTGGAGAAGACGCTGTGTTTCCGTGTGGTTGCCGCCAGGGGTGAAGCCATTGAGAAGGGTCACACCAAGGAAGATGCCGAGTATGGAAGAGATGCTTTCGCCAAGGTACGATCAGTTTGATGATTATTCGTTCCATTATGTATTGCATAAGTCTATTGGTAATATGCGTCATTTAGTATAGAACTTTTGCATGAAATATGGCTGCCAGTATCAATGCGTTACAACTATTTTAACTGCAGAGTCTATTTCATATCTATTTATAACGTAAATTTCACCCCAAAACTTTCCCGCCCAAATCATTCTGCACTTTTTTTCGTATATTCTTCAATATTTCTGAAAATGAATCCTAATTTTGGAGCCAATGGAAAAAATTGAGTCAGTTTTTACTCAAATAATTTGGTTATTTTGGTCCCAATATTCTGATTGAAAGTGCAGACTATAAACTGTTTTGTGAACTGAAAGCGGGAACTGGTGGTGAAAAGATTAAGTTGCAAAAATATAACTGTCTTGTTGATCAAACAGTAATATTTTAAAAATTGATGTATGTTTATTATTTCGACAACTTAACATTTAAAAATTTCTCTAGTCAGTGTTGTCTTTGTTTTGAATAACTATGTGAACTACCGTAATCGAACATTGATTTGATAATTTGCATACCACAGGCGATATACGAGAGGATGTTCACATGGGTTGTTAATAAAATCAACTCTGTTCTCGAAGTCAAAGGATCA